ACACACACACACACACACACACACACACACACACACACACACACACACACACACACACACACACACACACTTCATTAGGCTTTCATGAAGCAAAGCGAGGCTGTGCGAGACCTCACCGGCACCCGGGCTCCCTGCTGTGTTGATGGCCCTTGGGCATCACCACAAGCAGGAGGACCTCGGTGACCTCCTCCTCAGCTCCCGTGACGRGACGCCCGCAGCCAGCAGCCTATCAAACAGCAGCAGACACAGACTTAAAACTAGCCACGAGCAACAGCAGGAGCATTCATTTAGAAGGTGGAGAAATGAATTGATTCAGAAGTTCMTTCTATAACCCTGGAATTTGTTTAAGTCATACCACTTTGAATTTTAATCAACACAATGAAGTAAAAAATGGGAAAGCATGAATTCCTTCCAGTTTTTATGTTATTGCCGTGTGCTTGTTCATTCAATATACATGTAAGATCCTGCATAGTGCTGTACAAAAAAAACATGATTTGTCCAACTGGAGGACACCGAGTGTGAAGAATGTGTCAGAGAATGACCCGTGTGTCTCTTCATCCAGCTATAATGTTGACTTAGGTTTTCAATATTAATAACCTGCTGTCACGGACACTAGAAGGACATCTCAATCTGCCACTTATAGGCTTCACATGAATATGTATAGGCAGCAAGACGCGTCAAAATTACCAAGTGAAATTATGGTTCACACGTGGGGACTAATGTGATGTGGCACATGCATTACGATGAGCCGCAAATAGACAGCAGCTGATTGGTCTCAAAAGACTTGTTATGAGTTGTTGTGTAGACGGGGACAGGAGAAGATTCAGCTGGAGTCTGTGTGCACAGAAGGATGCTGCAAATGAAGCTGTGATTATCCATTACCACAGTCTTTATTATCTCATTAACAACTGCGAGTAGGCTGAACTGTTTGTGTTCACGTTTGGAGTGGTGGCCTTTTTTTTATGGGCACTGTGTTCCAAAAATGTCAAAAAAAGCTCATCAAATCTGTTTAGTTGAGAAGATCTGTGGACACGTGTTTGAAAAAATGCATGTAAAAATAATGATTCCACGACRGTATTTATTTTACCTGCTGTCTTTTATTACAATTTGACCATCTTGTGCTCACAACTAAAGGAGTTGTTGCTGTTTTGGTCAAATTTTCTAACATAAGTGCTCAGAGAAATGACTTTCAGCTACTACCACACCAAGGTTTAGCTCAATTTTTTTGTAAAAAAAAAAAAAAGGTAACAATTTATTGTAATGTTTTGTTTCACAATGGTTGATTAGCTATGGCGACCATCGTAAATCAGTTTGACTCCAAAAGTTTACAGAGTTGTAGATTCTCCATTATTTTCTGAAGTTTCATTAAAATGTGTCCTGTGGGTTATGAGATATTTTGCTAACAGATAGGGTTTATCCAAACATTTTTGCCAAAGTTTTAAGCTGATATAATRTGTCACACTGCGAGTGTGTTAGAAATGACCATCAGATACTACTACTCCAGGTTTTAGTGCAATTTCTGTAAAACTGGCTGAGTTACAGAGTGGTAATTACAAGAGATATGTAACTGTCACCAAACTGTCCTGATAGTAAGAATCATTGYCATAATCATACTTCTGTTGACTTCAGCAGCTGTCAAACAAATGATGAGTTTTAATAAAGTGGGCTGTGCTGAAGTGAAACTTTAAGAAACTTCACAAGAAGATAACTTGGGTCTATATTCATGTTATTCATGTGTTTCTCGAACTTAGTCCTATAATTGTTACATTTATAGGACAAAGTTCTAGAATAAGAAACAAGGAGAAATACAAAACTATGTAATTGTAAAATTAGTAAAAGTGCCTAGCAAAAGAAATATTTTTTAAATAAAAAAATGGAAATGAGATTCTGTATCTCAACGAGACCCTGTATAAATAAAGGTTAAATGATATATACATACACACACATATATATATATACATACAAACATACATACATACATACATAC